CAAAGAGATAGAGGAAGATAGCAAAGGATCATCCAAATGATTCCATAAAACAACCACAAATACCCATTAGGATTGAGGATGGGTTGAATCACATGAGCCAAAACACTTGAATGATGAAAAAGAGATGAGAAAATTGCATGAAAGTAAAAAGAAGTTATACTACCATTCTATGGATGAATGGTAAAGCCCTCCACATCCCAAAGCTAAAAGAATTACATAAAAAGAAAAAAAGAAAAAAAAGAGAGAGTTACATGAAAGTAAAGAGAGATTACAATACAATTCTATGGATGGGTGGCAAAGCCCTTCACATCCTAAAGTTAAGAGAATTAAAAAAAAAAGTTATATGAAAGTAAAGAGAGATTTCACTACAATTTTATGGGTAGGTGGCTAAGCCCTCCACAACCCAAGGAAAATCGCATGATATAGCAACAACAGTTATAGAAGAGGAAGAAGTGAGAAAAAGATGAGAAAATGTTCAAACTTTACCTTTCAAAGGAATGAAGAGCTTTTGATTATCAAACTCCCCTCCTAACACCCTTAAGGCTTTTAGTGTTGGCTTGAATACTAGCAATAAGCTCCAAGATCAAGCTTTAATGGTGTTTGGGTTGTGTATGAATCAAGAGAGAGGTACAAGAGGTGAAAGGCTTTGAGTTGAGGTGGTGTGATGGCCAAAACAAGTGGAAGTGAGCTCTAGCTTCATGAAAACAATTCTCCTTCCTTCCAAATAAAGCCAAAAATTCTCCACTCTCAAGAATGAGGTGGAGAGGTGTATTTACAGATTTTTGAGGCAAAATATCTGAGATATTTGTGTAAAACTTGCGTATGAAGCTAATTTTCCTAAAAATGCTTTGTTTCCCGGACAACTCACCCCGCTAGACAAAACTCATCCGACTAGCAAATTATTCATTTGGCCAGCACTTTTTTTGTACAACCAAATGAAAAATTGTACGGCCAGATCAGTTTTTTGAAGGGAAAAACATGATTTTCCCCCTAGAGAATTTCCCTTCAATCCACTCATCTCCATTTTGTCCTTGCTCGATTTACTGAAAAAGTATAACACTTGAAATTTGAAATGTGAGTCTTGGAACTTTGTAGAAAATTTTGGATCCATACAACAAAAACATTTTGGAAAAGGATTTTGAATAAGTCTGCGGTAGTTTGGCCAAAACGGGTGTAAGGTTAGGATTAAAGCTTGAATCCAACTCTCTTGCTGATGAATTTATAAGGTAGCACATTCTAACTTTTATCATCGGGTTTTCAAAAGAAAGTGCCAAAGTCTTAAGACCGGTAAAAATGGGATGTCTACAAGAGTGATGTGACAATTTATAGTGATTTTTTTATTTTTTTAAGCTAAAATCTTAAGTCTCCAAATGAGGAACTCTCAAAATAAATAATAAAAAAAATTAATATAAGTTGCACCAAATAGTCTTATTATTATATACTAAAAGAAAGTTGTAAATATAAGAAACAAGGGTATAAATGTATGTAAATTTAACTTGCCAATTGTGCACTGTATTTTTTATGTTATTTTTATTACAAGCATGAGATTTAATATATTGAACATTTAACAATAATGTGTCCAATAAAGTATGTCGAAGTACAAAAAGCATCTCAAAAGCGATAGCCTCTATATAGGGAAGAGAAAGCCTCTGCGAAGGGTGGAAACTTCTATGAAAAAAAAAAATCACCACCAAACAAATACCATCAAACACGTTCACGATTTCTTTCTGAACCATAAAAAAATAATGGCTTCACAATTTATCCATCATCACAATCAATATTTATCGTTTCGTAATCCACACCTCTACAACATAAATAAATCATTTTGGATCTTAGGGAGTAACCTAGTATATAAAAATACATTTAGCAATGTCGAATTTCAATTTGGAGTCAGTTCTAATGAAAACTTCCTTAGTGGTAGGCTGATAATGAAAAGTAAAGGAGCGGTAATAGCTAACATGTCGATGAATTGAAAAGAAGAATAAAATTTAGAGAAAAAGATAACAAAGGAAAAACTATCGGAGAAGATAAGGAAGGGAGAGAAAGCCTAGCAATTGAGGGATTAATTACCAATAAAAAATTTATAATTCAAATATGGATAATGCTATGGTATATGCAATATGCAAGTCATGAAATTTGTGGGGTTGATTATCACTATAATTCAATTCTATAAAAGTCATAACTTAAAAAAAAAAAAAAAGTTATAACTAAATACCACATAAGATATAAGTAAAGAATTCCTAGATCATAATTAAAATAATGTCATAATCAACATCGCAATAAACCATAACTAATACTATAATATATATAACTTACTACCACTTCAACAGAGCATAATCAAACATTACAAAATGCCGTAACTAGGGTGTATATAATACACATGCCATAGAATTTCCCTTCAAACATATTCAGTTTAGTAGGGAAGATTACATTTTGGATAAATTACACTTTCCCCTTTTATGTTTGCTCATTTTTTCACTTCAGTCCTTAAAATTTGTTTCTTCTTACTTTGGCATTTTATGTTTCAATTTTTTTTCACTTTATTCCTAAAGCTATTTTCTGTCCAAAATTTGATATAAAATGTCATAATAACTATTACATAACATAAAAAATATATTATTATATTATAATGTAAGTTTATGTCAAAAGTGTGAATCATATATAATAAAATATTTTTATATTACGTGTTTGTTAATGTATCATTTTTCATACAATTTTTAACAAAAATTAGTTTTAGAAATAAAGTTGAAAAAACTTGGAACAGATGGGCCAAAAAAAAAAAAAAAAAAAGACAAACAAACAAATTTTAAAAGCCAAAATGAGAAAGTGACCAAATATAAAAGGAGCAAAGCCTTCGTTTGGCAAGTAGGTTGGCTTTTTGGCTTTTTTGGCTATTTTAACCTGGGGCTAAAAAGTTTGATTTTGGAAGGACTTTTTGAATTTTTTGGCTTTTTGACTTTTTGGTGAGGTGTTTTTATGATAAATTATCAAACTTCCCTTGACACATGATTCTCATGGCAACTCACACTCAAATGGTCCTCTATGTCAGCGCCATGTACAAGACCCAGGATCGAAATTGTTTGAATTTTTTTTTTTTTTGTTTAGATTTGGCGTATTTTCCTTTAAATTTTATTTTTATTTTTATTTTGAGTTTGGATTTGGCGTATTTTGCTTAATTTTTATTTTTTTATTTTGGGTTTGGATTTCGCGTAATTTACTTAAATTTTTTATTTTTTTTATTTTTGGTTTGGATTTGGCATATTTTTTTATCTTTTTTATTTTTATTGGTATACAATAATTTTTTTTTTATTTTTCAAAAATGAGTTTTCATGTGTTTTATTTATTTTTAAATTACGTCGCGAATTGTAATTTATGTTTTTATATTTTTAAATTACGTCGTGAATGGTAATTTATGTTTTTATATTTTTTTAAAAAATATTTTTTAATGAGGCGTATTTTTCTCGTTATTTTTTTTTAATTTACGTTTTTGTTATTTTTTAATTCGTACACATTAATTTGTTTTTATATTTCAAAAATGGGTTTATTTATTTGTAAATTACATGATAAATGGTAATTTCTGTTTTTTTTTTAAATCTTTTTGGATGAGGCGTATTTTTCTCGTTCTTTTTTTTTTGAATTTACGTTTTTGTAATTTTTTAAATATTTTTGAATGAGGCGTATTTTTTTTAAATAATTTATGTATTTTAATTTTTTTTTTGCAAATGGTTTTTTCATGTGTTTTTTATTTTTATTTTTATTTTTTTTCATTTTCTGTGAAATGATAAAAAATGAGGTTTTATTTTATTGTCCTGTGTATTTTAAATAATTTACTTTTAATTTAATTTTAAATATTTAATTTTTATTTTTATTTTAATTTTAATTTTATTTTAAATATTTAAATAATCTAAATAATTTAATAAGCAAAAATTTAAAATAAATATTCAAAAAATTATTTTAACAAAAAATTTAAAAATTTTAAATTTTTTTTTAAATTTAAATAATTTAAAATGTTAATATTTTAAATTTAAAAACAACTCTACACTCAAATCGTAACTACATGCGTAAAACAAAACTTAATTAAGAAATTATTTTGAAAACTCATAACCAAACACATAATTCGAAACTCCATACTACTTTCATAACTCTACACTCAAATCATAACCAAATACATAACAAAAAAATTAAAATATTTAAAAATATTTTTATAAATAGAGTTTGAATTTATTTTTATAAAATATTTTAACAAAAAACAAAAAAAATGTTTTTAATTTTTTTTTTCAACTTTCTTTGTTTTTTCTGGGAAGAGATGTTTTTTGGAAAAAAGTTTTTTTTTTTTTTACTTTGAATATTTCTGACTCTGAGGCTAAATTAGCCCCTCTTTCATGTGGGAGCAGTTTTGTAAATTTACCTATGAAATGGTTGTTGCCAAGCTCTTGCCAGGATTTTGTCTCCATGTGGTTGAATTAGCCACTTTTGTCCGTATGTGGCTAATTTAGCCTCAAATTGCCTTTCCAAACACAGGCAAAGTTTACCTATTACATTTTAGTAAAAAAAAATAAAGAAAGTCATATAAAAAAAAGAATAAAGATTGAGACCCCCTTTCCCCCACCCCCTTTTGACCTCCTTTCTTTTTTGATTGGTCACTTTTTCTTTTTCTTTTTCTTTTTTTTCTCCTCTTCTAATCACCACCCGCCACGTGTGTGTGGGGATGGCGGGGGTTGAAATTTGAGGGGGTCTAAATCACTGCTATAAAAAAAAAAGGGTTAAAAGATTGTTTCATTTCACTCTAATGTTTACAAATTATTTTGTAAAAAAGTTACACAATTAATTCCCAAATAGCTCACTTTTCTTCGCATCATATATTAATTTATAAACCACTCCCCCAAACAAGTTCTTAATTTTTTATTTTATTTTATTTTATTTTCAGTTGGACAATGTAATGTGAATTAAACAAAATAAATAAAGTGTGCAAATGGAAGCTGCCCCGGGCTTATTATATTATGCCCATTCCGACACGATAGAGATAGTTTATCTAACGGCCACACATGGCCTTCTTCACCTCCAGCCCTTTGCAGCATCAGAAGCAACTCTACTCATTCACTCTCTGTAAGTGTCCATGGACTCTTAATTCCTTCAATTTCCATTTTCCATCTCATCTCCTCACTTTCTCACATCCCAAACACTTACTCCAACTATGTTTCTCACCACTTCTTGTAGTTAAAGCACACACTACCAAGTTATCTAGCACAGAACAAGAACTCTCAAATAAACTCATGAATCATACAACAGATAAACAAACTGTTTCTGGGTTTTCTCATTCTAGGCTAAAGAACAAATGGGTATGCAAAAAGCCTAGGAAAAAGAATGAAAATTTTGAAAAGAGCGCACACACAGGGGAGAGAATAGACTCTAGGAAAAGGAGAGAAATGGGTTCTGGGTTTTCTTCTATGAGCTCTAAAGATGAAAATTTAGTGCGAAAATTGACAGAAACTATTGAAGGCATATTAGTTAATGAAAAGGAGGATAAGTATTCCAAGAAGGGTTTTGATAAGAAGAAGAGGGTGGAGAAGATGGCAAAGGGGGCCAAGAAAAGTAAGGTCGATTCGCCGGGGTTTAGATTGAGGATTGCGTTGGATATGTGCTCCAAGAAAGGGGATTTCATGAGTGCACTTAAACTGTTTGATTTGGCTGAGAGAGAAGGTATCGAGATGGGACAGTACCATTATACTGTACTCTTGTATCTTTGTTCTTCTGCAGCTACCGGTGTTGTTCGTCCTGCAAAGAGCGGGAGTGGCAGTCGGAGTTTGAGTACTGTGAATTCCGAAGATTTGGATGAAGTTGGGGAGGTTTGTAAGGCCAATTTTCATAATGCTGAATCAAATATTTCAATATCAGATGATGGGTTGTTGGTTGAATCCATTGACCATCATTCTATAAATTTGGATAGAGTAGAGTTGGATTCTAATGGGTTTCAAAGCGAAGTAGGAAATGACACCAATGGAGTTGCAAAAGCAAATCCTGAAGTTATAGATGGGAGGATTCATCTAAATGGTGATTATGATTTAAAAACTATCAAAGATGGTAACAACCTGGAAAATTATGAAATTCGGGTGAGTGAAGATTTCAAGAAGTATGCAATCCAGAGAGGATTTGAAATTTATAAGAAAATGTGTTTGGAAAAGGTCCCAATGAATGAAGCAAGCTTGACATCTGTTGCTAGAATGGCTCTTGCGATGGGTGATGGTGACATGGCATTTGATATGGTAAAGCAAATGATGGCATTGGGGATAAACCCTAGATTGAGGTCATATGGTCCTGCTCTATCGGTCTTTTGCAATTGTGGAGATATTGACAAAGCGTTTGCTGTTGAAGAACACATGTTGGAGCATGGTGTCAATCCAGAAGAGCCTGAACTGGAGGCACTCTTAAGATTAAGTATAGAAGCGGATAGAAGTGACAAGGTTTATTATTTGTTACATAAACTTAGAACCGGTGTAAGGAAGGTCTCAACATCTACTGCTGATTTACTCGGAAAATGGTTCAAGAGCAAAGTAGCTTCAAAAGTAGGGAAAAGAAATTGGGATAAAAGATTAGTAAGGGAAGCAATTGCAAATGGCGGTGGAGGCTGGCATGGGCAAGGTTGGTTGGGTAAAGGGAAATGGAACGTTACACGCACGTTTGTTGGGGATGATGGCTTGTGCAAGTGCTGTGGTGAAAAATTGGCAACAATTGACCTTGATCCTATAGAAACCGAAAAGTTTGCTGAATCAGTTGCATCTTTAGCTACACAAAGAGAGAAAAATTCAAGCTTCGAGAAATTCCAAGTACGAGAATCTGCTACAATACTCATTTAGCTGTTATAAGTTGGTCTGATGAAGTAAATAAAGAAACTTTGTTGTTTGCAGAAATGGCTTGACTACTACGGACCGTTTGAAGCAGTGGTAGATGGAGCAAATATTGGGCTTTTCACCCAAAGGAAATTCAAACCATCCAAGGCAAGTCATTTAATGGCTTATATGGGTGAAATGTGCAGAATTTTGGGCTCATTTGGCATTGTTTTCAATTTCCTCTTTCTATTCTTGAAAACAGCACAACTAAAACTGACTTCAAAAATTCGTTTTGCATGTTTTTACAACAGCTTTCTAAAAATATCCCTTTAAGGAAACACTTAGAAGTGTTTTTTTGAATTTCAAAAAATTGTTTACGCCAACAATGGGTTTTTTTATCTTTTTCTCAAACTTTTTATTGTTTTTAATTTAAGAAACACGAATTTTTTTTATACAAAAAATGAAAATGATACCCAGCAGACCCTTTATTTTTATTCCTTGTTTTTGATAATTGGTCTTGTTATCCTGACAAGGATAGCCCTTTAGGTAAATGCCGTTGTGAATGGAATTCGTCAACTGCTTCCTTCAAAGAAGTGGCCACTCATTGTGTTGCATAACAGGCGTGTCACCGATGACAATATGAATAAACCAGTAAATAAGGCACTTGTTGAGAAGTGGAAGAATGCTGATGCACTCTATGCGACACCTACTGGATCAAATGATGATTGGTGAGATATACATTTCATATTTCTGCAGAATAATCTTTTTCCCCACCATTTTTTTTGTTGGTCTAATTAGTTATTTTTAGTTTCAATTCTGATTGTACGACCTTGATCTTAATTCTTTGTGATTTATCTGCATTTAAATTGCCATGGGTTATACCTGTGTTTCAGGTACTGGTTGTATGCAGCTATAAAGTTCAAGTGCTTACTCGTGACTAACGATGAGATGAGAGATCATTTATTTCAACTTCTGGGGAATGATTTCTTCCCCAAATGGAAAGAAAGGCATCAAGTGAGTAGTTGTCTTCAAAAATCAAATTTTATAAAGTAGGGGATGTAGGTTCAGAAGATGCTAAGGTTGGTGGTACCATATATTTTCATTTCTAAATTGCTTTATTTAACTACTCAGGACTGCCACTAAAAATAAAATCAAATAACTGATTAGCTCCAAGATTATGTAATTTCAAGACTCTCTCTCTCTGTTTCAGTGGTGTGGTTCATCTTCATTACTTCAATTTTAAGCATAGGGAGGAATCTTGCAGATTATTAGATTAATAGTCTGTTTGCTGACAACAGCTCAAAAAGTCGCATTTTTTTCCTTCTTTTTTTTATTATTTTATTTTATTTTATTTTTTATGTCTCTAGTGATTTTTTATTTGTTTATTTATAATTAGTGTGAAAAGTTTTACTTTCCAGAATAGTCTAGTCTAGAAGGATCTAAAAAGTAAAAGAAGTTTGAAAAATCCAAAAAAAAAAAAAATTAACTATAGACACACACACAAAAAAGCCACTTTTTTTCAAATTCTTTTTATTTTTCTTTAACTTTTTAGGTTTGTCTAATCTAACAGGCCCTAAGTAAATTGTTTTTGTAATTTTGAAAAAACAGTTCACTAAAGACCAAAAAAAAAAAAAATGGTCAACAACGAAGTTACTAAAAAAGCAATTGCTAAACCCACTAATAGTTGATGTTCTTTAGTACTGTTTGCCATATTTCTTGACTGATGCTCTGTCCAAAATATGTACTGCTCTCTTAAAGGGAAAGAAGAAGAAGAAAAACTTTACTTTTTCTGAAGGTTTTCATACTATGTTTGCTTAAGCAGTTTCCTAATGCAGTATTGTTTCTTTCTTAATGGAAGGTTCATTTCCGCTTTTCTGATACTGGTCCAATGTTCCACATGCCGCCTCCTTGTTCCGTTGTAATTCAGGTCTGTATCCTACTATCCTGCTATGTTTGAATCACTTCTTGTGTTCTATGTCAGCACTGTGTGTGTGTGTGTGTGTGTGTGTGTTCTGGGCTTTAGACTGACAAAAGAGTCCATACATATGCTTAACAGGAGTCAGAGAAAGGCCATTGGCATATTCCAATTGTTTCCGAGCATGACTATGAAGGGGAAAGAACATGGTTATGCGTTACGCGTGCTAACTCAGCTGGGGCAACACTAGTTTCTTCCACCAAACGTGAAGGTAATTATCAAGTTCAGTTAGAAAAATACAAAAAATTCCCATCCTTAAAAATTGGGGTTGGTAATATGAAATGGTCTCTTCCACTCAACTTCTTGGTATGAACATAATTTTGCTAAGGGAGTGTTTGGAATGTGTCCATGCATACGAAATCATTCAATCACATCTTAAATATCAATTTTTTTCTCCAATGTTTGTTCTCATATCATGCCAATTCTGTTTACGCTATCAAACACAAGTTTGAAATGACCTGATTCTGTGTTGAATGGGTCTGTTTTTAAATGTTCGAGTACTGTGGTTATTCGTTGTATACTATTGTTAGTGGCGATGAATCCAATCTCTTACAAAGATCCTATTTTGGTTTCTTGATGCATCCACCCTAAAGAATTCACTATTGTGGGGTTGTGAGACATGGTTGTTCTTTGTGTTTGAAAATAATATTTTTCTCTTAAGAGCATCATTAAAAACAACTTGCTGAAACTAATACATTTAAACAGTCTCAATTCCTTTTTACTTTGGTACATGCTAACTGTTGTGCTTGAATGGTTCCAATCACAAAAACAGTGAAGAGAAGCAAATCAAATGCACAATACACAAGTTATACATGGTTCGGCAATGTGCCTACTTCCATGGAAAAGAGGAGATAAAATCCAGTATGTGCAATGAGGATTACAGAACTCTGAACCTAGAGACTCAACCACTCTACAATGCTATCACACTCTCAAATTGAAAACACTAGCCAAAAAATACAATAAATACCTCCAAACTTGGGGCCTTGACCCTCATGTTCCTCATAGTAAATCTGATAGTACAGTAAATATCAAGACACCTCAGAACACTTATAACGCGGTGCAGAGCATCCATAACGTCTATATCAATATTTGCACGAATTTGCTAATTATGGAGAATAATATGGTTTCCATCCAAAAATTATTCTCCATAATTAATGACGTTTCCTTTGTTACACTAATGACATTTGAAATTTTAAGTTAAGTAGCATCAGGCTTGGTAACCTATTGCAAATCAATCCATGCTACTACATGATTAACGTATGCAAATCCGTATATGTTTGTTATGGTAATACGTGCACATACATCTCATTAGGGTATGTATGTCACAACTTAAATATCTACTCTACAATTTTCCTTGCTATTTGTCTGGCAGGCTTGCCTTTTTATGCTGATTAAGGGCCTCAGGCTTGCTTGCTTGCATGTCTATGAATTGCTAGAACAAATTAATTATTGATCCTATCATGTACCCAGATTGATTTTATCTATTGATATCTTGATTTCACTTGTATAAAACAGAATCACAATCTCCAGTCCTTCACAAGAAAGGACTTGCAAGCTCAGATACTCAAACCAAAACTGAGTCAAAGCTAACCCCAATGGATCAAAGCAACTACTACAACTCTAGACACCTGCCTCAAGAAACTTACAGGAACCTCAGAAATATATTGTCGACAACCATGTTCTCAAAGCATCCAACAATCCTGCCAGATATTGAGGCTGCAGAGAAGCTCGGTGGCTGTGTTATTGATTTTGACATATAAAGTAAACAGCTAAGACGTTCAGAAGCTTGAATTACGCTTGCTGGATCTTGTATATTCTTTCATTTCAGCCCCTGCAGCGTCCCTAAAGACAATTATGAAGTTGAAACTTTTATGGTTTCCAGATGCAGAACCTGTTCTGCTCTCTTGGCGTTCAGTTTACTTTGATAGGATTAAGCAGACAAAATTCAACCTTTATGCTGTCTAAGGTCGGGGATTTGTTCTGCGTTGTCCCCAGTTACGCATGGGTGGGAGCGAAGAAGGCCGGCTTCCTATACCTTAGTTGAGTATTCTGCTTCCTTCTCCATTTTTTTCATATATGTAATGTATGCATATATTTTTAAAGCTCTTCTTCAAAAAATGCAGTTTTTTAATCTTTTATTTTTGCCCTTTAGTTAGCTGATTAAGGATTGTTGGACTAAAAGACCATAAAATATTAAAATTGTGAAGGGCAAAAAAAAAATGTCAACTAAAAACAAAGAAAAGCAGCTTAAAAAGTTATTTGTCAATTAAGTTTCCTTTTTCTCATCTCTAGTGAATATCTTAAATTTTAATCTCCATAAAAATGGAAGAAATTTTTTAAAAATATCACTAAAAAAGAAAAATCTGATTAAAAAAATTATTTTCGAACAATAACAAATGTGTATCCTAACAAACATTTCTGAAGCCACCACTACCTTCATTGTGTATACTTTTATGTGCAATATGATTTTATATATCCATTTTTAGCTTCTATGATGGTTCTTAACTTTGTACTGAAATATTTGTGTAATTTTGACTTTTTGAGATGCAATCTTTCTTTAGATGCTCAAGGAGGTTCTGATCCATATCATTTTCACATTGTTTGTCTCTCTGAATTATAACTTTCGCTGAGCTGAAAGAAAGAACAATAGATTTTTGGTGTATTTTAAGCAATGTTGGTATTGGTCACTGTTTTATGATGTGGTTATTTGAATTTATAGTGTATATTTAAACTGGGGGGGGGGGGGGGGTTTCATTGTGTTGCTGTGTACCTTTTTGGTCTTAATGATTGCATTTTTCTCGGATTTAATCACATAGTTGTTCTATTTCGTTGTAGGAATGGAGGACAACATCATGTTAATATTTCGTTGTAGGAATGGAGGACAACATCATGTTATTATGTTCTTACAGTATTAACAACGTTGTCTTTATGGTTGATGCTATGTTCACGTTTAGTATATTTGATTTTCCGAATATTACATTGAAACCTGAAGATGTGGTCGCCACATTTGGAGGCAGATTTGAATGTAAAATTGCGCAATGGAGACAACCAAAATGGATGTGGCCCAAATTCGGAAAACCCTAAAACCTCGCAGGTATGGTTTCTGAAAATATTATATTGAATCTTGAAGATGGGGTTGCCACATTTGGAAGAAGATTTGGACGAAGAATTGCCAATGGAGATGGTGCATCGGTGGCAAAATCGAGTGTGGAACATCCACCGAGATCAGAGAAATGTTGTTCGATGAAACCCTAGATAGTCTCCGAACAAAATACACGGTGTTGATCGTTTTTTCTAATTTTTGTGAAGTTGGATACGTTCGTCTTGGATCCAAACGTGGTTGGCCCCAAACTAGTGTACAAAACTAAAAAAAAGACTATAGTATACTTTTTTTTCAAACATAACCGAAACCGAGAACATGGAAATTGCATAAATTAACATTAATAGTATACATACACAAATGGGCAGAAATGTAAATCACCCCAAAATGAGACTTCTGAGGGCATTAAAAAAAAATCTGGGACTAGTCCACAAGTCATCCATTTGGGATTATAGCTGTCTCTCTATTTAAAATCCTTAACTTATTTAGGTTGTATTTAAATTATGAATTTCAGTAGTGATTTATAAAGAAAAAGGAAAAAGAAAAAAGAAAATTTGAGAGAGATAGAGCAATGATTTATCTTATATTTTATTTATATTTTCCTTTTCAAATGGTTATCAAAATTCATAATGCAAACTTTTTGAATGACAGGAGCAGGTATGAGAATCTCATGTCAGTCTCTTTCATTCCATTGTTTGGGTGCATTCAAGAATATGAATGTAATTTCTAGTTTGGGTGCATTCAAAAGAATATGAATGTAATTTCTAATTCAATTCTCAAGGTGGAATGAGATTACTGAACTGGTGGCTATCTTATTCCCATATCTCTCATAGGAATTTCGCATTCCTAAATTAATGTGCCTCTTTTAGGAATAAAACAAAAGGAAATGCTATATGCATTCTACTACAAAATGTATAACTTTACCATAAAATTTTGTAATATAAACTATAAAATATATAATCTCGCCATAAATTGCTATAACAAAAAATATCGTACTCAAACCACAAACTTTTGTAACATTAATCACAAAAGTTTAGACATTTTGTTACACGTTAATTTGTGGTGAGGTTACGTATTTTGTAATTAATGTTCCGAAATTTATAATAAAATTATACATTTTTATAGTAGGATGCATAGGATGCACACCATAGGATTTGCCATAATTGAAAGGTCAAACTTTACTTTATATTTCACATCTAATGTTATTTTATTTTCCTAATTTTTTAATTGTTTCAATTAATCTCAAGATTTTAAGTCAAGTTATACATAGGCCAAGTCTTATAATGTTGTTTTGAAAATTGGAGGATGGATTAAAATGAATGGGTATGATTTTGCTAAAAGTATAGGAATACTAAGTGTTAATTACAGATTAAAGTGAAATTTTAATATAAGTGTGAGCATACAAAACGTAATTAATACGATTTTATGGCAATTCTCCACTAAATTTTGAAATGAGTATAGAAATGAGTCCAGACTCTAAGTTTAGGGATTAAGCTTAGGGTATAATGTGAGATTGGATATAATATATAAGGGTGGAAAGTGATTTGCCCTAATTGAACCAAACTACAAAAAGGAAAGAAATAAAATGTCAAAACACACATATTAAAAAAGCCAAATTTCAACCAAAAAAAAAAAAAAAAAAAGAAAAAAGAAAAATAAAAAAGAAAGAAAGAGGAGGCTAAAAGGACTTCTTGAATGTAATTACCCATTATTGTTTCTCTAGCCAGAAAAAGATGGAAGAACAACAAAAGAAATACAAAATGCATAGACTCCTTAGAGGGTCTGAATATTTACATCTGATAAATGATGCTAAACATCTTTTTTAATTTTCTGTTTTCTTGTTTAACTGTTGCTCCCTCACTTGTGTTTCGTTTTGTTTTGTTTTGTTTTGGTTTTCCCTCTTTTTTCTGCTTCTAAAATTTGTACAATTAAAAGCGTGTTGGACTTCTTAGACCACCCAAGGCTTCAAGCTTATCAATGTATGAAATTTTTTTGTTAGTAACAATGTTTGGAGGTTTGCTCAACTTCTCATTTTCTTCCTTCAAGCATTGTAAGTTGCCCATTGAGTAATTCTTTTTAATCTCTGTCTCTCCTTGATCCAAATTCCAACCCATGAAATCGGATAATGTCATTGAATTTGGCGTATCTGTAATACTATTTAGTTTCTCCATATCTTCAGAGCTCGGGGAACTCCCTAGTCCTTCTACCGGCAATGAATCCATTGAGGGCTTCCTTTTCGATAATGCCAATGATGGATTTTGAGTAAGAGAGTCTGCATATAAGACATCTTCAATACGAGACATGACAGTATTCGCCAAGCTTTCCAGTACTCTTGAATAGCACTCTAGAATAGAATATCCAACATCCTATAATTGGAAAATGCATAAGAAAAAAAAAAGAGTTTTTGTTATTACTTTAATTAAGAGAAAAAAGAGATGACAATTGCAGTGTTAGATTGTTCTTACTCGGTTATATTGAATTTTACTTATATCAAGCGAGGATTGAGGAAGCCCGGGGAACTGTTGTTTAAGTAGGAGCAAGATGGTCTCTGCTCTCTCTTCAAATAGTTCCCTCTTCTCCAAACTGATAGCTGAACCCCAAGAAGACTTTTCATTCTTATGGTGCATCTTCCTTTTCCAAATCACAATAGAAGCCTCAATTCGGTTCTTTAGGTCAAGAACTTTGTGCTCAGTTGACATGTCCATGGTTGAAAGGAAGTCAGCAGGATCAAAAAATTCCACTGTAATGCTTTTATAAATTGAATCACCAAGGCTTGATCTACCGTTCTATCAAATAAGAAAAAGATAAGGAAATCATCCAAAATTTATTGCTAATGTCTTCAAAGAAAATTTCATTTTACCTCTCAAACTATCTCTCAAAAATTAATTAGACCACTGTTCTTTTAATTATATCAAGTTTACACTTGAACTATTCGAATTGGGATCAATTTGACCCTACCGTCACCTCTTATCCACACTCAAACAAAATCTGTTGACTCGACTCCTCAAACTTTTCTTTGGAAAGAAAATGAAGTGTTTCTCTCCTATGTATTATGACCCTATTATATCCCACACTTGTGGCTATTTCTGATGAGTAGGATTGTTATACATGAGTGAGAAACACATCATTTTCCTTCCCAAGAAGAGTTTGAAGGGATAGATTAAGTCAACAGATTTCGTCTAATTGTAGATGGCAGGTAAAGGTACAGGTCAAATTGATTCCAATTTGATTAGTTCAGGCTAAAATTAATATAATTAAAAAGATAAAGATCTAGCTGATATTTTAAAAATAGTTTGACGGGTAAAATGAAATTTTCTCAGTCTTATGACTAGTTATTGTGAAACATTTTCTTCTTTTTTACCTTAGGGAGGGATTCAATGTAGTTGTCAGGGATCTCCATTTCGGATAGTATTTGAGCATTGATGGCCATTGATGCTTTGAGAACTTGGTTTACAGATTCCTTCTGGAATTGCATCCATTTTCGAGATGCATCTGATAGCCCATCAGGGGGAACTTTAACTGTAGGTAGCCACCATTTGTCATCTCTCTGGCTGCCTTTCTCACCTTCATCAGAATCTCTTGAGACATACCAGAATTCATCCTGGTCTTTGAAGTTATCTAGGCAATCCTATTCATTATCTTATGATTAGGATGATTTAAAAAAAAGATATTATCCAAAAATATCTTAAGTTTTGATCTTAGTAACAAATAAAACCCTAATTTTTTTTATTGTTTCAATTTAAGTTTTGAACTTTTAAAATGGTATTGATTCTAACCAACAAAAAGTTATCAGTTTAAACAATTTAACTACTTTTTTTTTTCCATTACTGTTGACAGTCACCTCTCATCTTTGCCGTCCTCTTCTCAAAGCCAATATTATCACTCCATTTATTTTCTTTTCTACACTCCTCTTTCCCAACTCACCACCATCTAGTGGCGGACGCATAAATTTTATAATGAGTAGGCTAAGTAATATGCATTTAAAATTGATAATAAAATTTTAATTATTTTATTATTAACGAAGACAATATTTGTATGCTACATTAAAAGATTTACTTCTACAATCATAAAAATTAAAAAAATTCATAAAATATGCAAATAAAATTCAAGCAAATTTTAATATAGAGACAAATAAAATAAAATGCATTGTGTAAATACTTTTTCACATTGTACAAAATAAAAATGACTAAAAAAATGGTTATTTATGTATGTATTAGTGGGTTTTTATTTGATAGTTGAACTCTTAGAAGAGGTGACTTTGAATTGAGGGGCTCTCTCATTCCTTCCTCAATTCATATCCACTATCGTCGTCCAATACCACCAACAAAAAAATAATTAAATTGTTTAAATTGTCTATATTCTGTTAATTATAACTAACAAATGGTTATAATTGATACCATTTTAAAAGTTCAGAATTTAAATTAAAATAATTAAATAAGATTTAAATTGTTACTAAAATCAAATCCTAAGGTTTTTTTCTTTTAATAAATAAATAGCATATAAATATAACAATAGTCCTTTCTATGAAAAATGTTATGCAACAACCACATAGAAGAGAGACATTGCTTAACATTTTTGGCCTAACGGTCTCATTTTTCTCAATAAATTGGAGTACACTGGTGCTAAAACCAAGAGGGGGACCCATGCATGCGAGTCCACAAAGGATTGTGTACAACAATGATCGAGACCACTAATTTTAGAGCTCTAAAAAAATCACTAATGACATGATACTCAACAAAAAAAGAAAAAAAATACAACATCAAGACCAAAACATCAAATCATTTATGATGGGATCCACTACCACATCATTAGTAATAGCACTAATTAATGCTCTCACTCATTTTCCGGATTGTGTAATAGACAAGTCAGCTGGGTATATTGTCTTGGCTTTTTAAAAATCTTTTAGAATTAATTATTTCTCATATAAAGTTGATCAAGCTACTGCTTCAATGGAAAGAAGTTTTGAAAATTTTCAAATGTAGGAAGAAATTTTTGGTTTTCTATTTAATTTTTTTAAAAAATGAAATTATTCAGCTTGTTTGATTCTTATTTTCAAGATTCTAAACAATTTTTTAAAATTTTTGGATACACCTAACATTAATACACTTAAATTGTACACTATTTGTGAAAAAAAATCTTCAAAAAATTCACTAAATACCAAAAAAAAAAAAAAAAGAAAACTAGAATTCAATACATTTTTTGTATTCTTGTATATTTATTAATTTTTTAAAATATTTTACTTTTTAGATACATCTAAATAAGGTAAATCTAAAAAAGTAAAAAAATTGTTTAAAATTTTAAAAATATTCACTAAAAATAAAAAAACTCAATTTCTAAAAAATTGAATTCAAAAAAAAAATTCCTTAAATCTCCAAGGGACGTTTTATTGATATCGATGATTAGATTTATTTTCAAAATTAAAAGTTCTAAAACAAAATCTGCAAATAAAAAACAAGAACACTCCATTGCGTACAATATATTGACAACATAACAATTGTTTCTATAGAAAGTAGTTTTCAAAGTTAAAATTGATAAATCTTTTCAAGCTCAAATATGTGACCATAAAGATTAAGGGAATTAACGATATTATTAATTGACAAAATAAAATTTTTATTTGAATTTAAAAAATTAATTTTACATATTGAACATTTTAGAAAATTGAAACTTCAATGAAAAAAATTACAATTTGAAAGAATAATTATTAATTAAATGTTTAAATTACACTTTTAACCCTGTAATTTGATTCGAATTTTACTTTCGTCCCTATTAGTTTAAACTGAATAATTTGGTCTCTACACTTGAAGTTTTGTTTCAATTTAGTCATTCCATTCAAATTGAAGGCCAAAACTATTTTGGGAGACTTGTCAGTCTTTTGAGGTGTATACGTAGGAAAAATTAACAAAAATTTAGATGGAAGACCAAATTAAAATTGGATTTAAAATACAGAGACTAAATTGTTCAAATTGAAACAATAAGAATTATAGTGAAATTTTGTATAATATAAGGGTAAAAACTATAATTTACCCTAATTAAATTAATATTTAAATATGAAAAGGCCTCAATTACCACGAATGGGCCATCCTAATTGGTAAGAGAGTTTGCTTATCTCCTCACTGACTAGAATTCGAATCAATCTCTTACTACTCAAGTAGAAATTCGACGGTTTAAGTGAATCAGTTAACTTCTCTCAATTTAACTTGTAAGGATAAATCTTAAAGGTACTGCCTTCTGGACATAATAATAATAATATAATTTGCTATCCTCACCTCGACCGTAAAATTGGTTGGGCTACATCTACTTCTAGTTGTTCATAGAAGGCCCTTTTCAATAAATCTAAGTCTAGAAGGAAAATGCGAGACACCTCACAACATGAAAGATACCAAAAGCAAGTGTTGGTAGTTCTTACAAGGAGCATTGTATCGAGCTTGCGCAAGGCTGGGATATTCATTAGCAGGTCTCTTCTTTGTTGTGTTAACATTATCTGTCAAGTTATGAACTAGTATCAAAGAATATGATATGGTAGAATTTTGATGAGAGAGAAATCAAATTATGAACTAGTATTAAAGAATTGCAATTCTTAAGTATCCAAGTGTATACCATATATATTTGCGTATGTTTTCCCAAACATTCGTAAGTTACTTCATAAAATTGCGTAATTTTTCACAAACATACGTAAATTAACTCATAAAAATATGAGAAATCACAATTTACGTGTATTTATGAGAATTTACGTGATTTTGTGAAGTAATTTATGTATATTTGTTAGAATTTACGTAAGTGCATATGGTATATACCTCGCACACTCAAACACTTTCCCCTAAAGAATATGCTATGGTAAAATTTTAATGAGAGAGAGAGAGAGAGAGAGAGAGAGAGAGAGAGATTTCACCTCCATACTTGTTCCATCCTTGGATTTTTGTTGGGAAGGAACTAATTCAACAATGTAATCAGTCACAGATAAAAGCCAATCTATTTCCTTTTTCCACCTTGCTTTCCTATCTGCAGACATTGGCTCTAATTTCCTTTGTTCTCCAAAAACAGAAGCTGAAACATATTACAAAACCAAGAGAATATAAGCCTATTTGGTGTAACTTATTAAAACTGATTATATATATAGAAAATCTATTTCAAAATATATTTGACACAACTATGGCTTACAGCTGATACAACAATATTAAGAAAATTTTAAAAAGCTAATTATTGGGAAGTTGATAGATAAATGTTTTTTTAGCTTTTTCAATGCCAATTTTTGACTGTCAAAACATTACACCAAACATGTGTAGATGTGCAATAAATAATTGATGACTTTGGAGACATAAAACATGCCTGAAATACTTTCATATGGGATTCAATTATAATTCATATTTGTCATTCTTCAACAAGAAAGAAACCATTCTAGATCCTTATGAAAATAAAACATTTAAATATAAGGAATAGAAAACAAACTTAATTACCTGCAAGATTTGTAATGGCATTTGACAAAGCCAAAGCTGATGAAACACCTTTCCCACCACCTGACATGTCTTCTCCCAAAAGCAGCTTAGCAAACCTTTCCTTCATGAACTCCATATCTAAACCAGACATAGAAAACAATGAAAGATTTTTTTATGAAATTTTCGTTCTGTAAAATGGTTCAACAAGAAAATGTGTGCAAATGTTGGTTTCTCATTGAAGTATGAACATGTATATGGTTTTTCAAGATTACTGGGTAAATGGATCAATACATTGAATGAAATAGCATGAACAATGTCGATATATATGTCGAAATAATACAATTTGAATTATGTGGATTATGTATACCAGGATGGTTTTTTTAATCAATAGAATAAAAGATATTGATGAATTGAACAATACAAGTAGTACTATGAAATTACATCAATAAAAAAGAATTAAGGTTATATATACCTGAAGGTTGCCGGTCTTTGTTGAGGTGACTTCCTCCTTTGGCCACCACCTCTTTGCTTGAGGCCGAACTTGGACTTTTGTCGATTGATCGATTAAATAGAGATCCTATCGGTTCCAATGTTGTAGGTTTCGAGCCTTGACTCCCAAGTTGTTTCTCCTCAACGGTTTCTCCACCATTTGTACCATCGAAGATTAAACTATGCACCTGTCGTCCTGGGATCTCAAAAATCCTCTTAAAGCTAAAAGACCTCGACTTAACCGCTTGTTCTTCTTTAACCATTATACATATATTTGATTTTTAAGGTAGTTTAATTAACTACTGTTTATTGTATATCAAGAATATATGACAAAGGAAGTATGAAAACAAGCAAAGCTAAGTTGTCTATAAGAGAGAGAGAAAATTTCAATCTAATGTGTTTTGAAAGAGAGAAATTAAGGAAATTGAAGAAAAATCATTCTCCAAAATGAGAGGCTAGAGATTATATGGAAAAGGGTTTTTTTTTTTTTTTTTTTGGATTTCTTGAGCTGAAGGAAAGGAGGTTGGTTGTCTGAGTAGTTTTTGGAATTTGCTTTTTTTGAGCAATAGAATGTGGGGTGTATATTTGATTAGGACAAAATGAGGATAGTATGAGAAGAATAAACGAGTTTTTCTTGGATTCGTTTTGTGAAATTAATGGTTTTGACTTTTCTATCCATGCAAAAAGTACGCGATAGCAAAAATTATCTAATAAATTTGGAACGCCACATATTCGTGTGTTTGATTAATAATATTGTATAATTTACCCACCATTCACTTAGCGGTAAATTACACAAATAGTCCCTATAGTTTGAGACTTGTATTATTTTAGTCTTTAACTTTTCAATTGTAACATATTTGATTCTTGCTCCAAATAAGGATAATTGAAGATATCATTAGAATTTTCAAGGGTAAAATTGTCAATTTGATAAAATATAAACTAATTTGACAAAAATAAATGTCAAACAAATATTTTTGAATTTTTAAAAATTATTTCTACCTACTAAAAATAAAATTATGTAAAATTGATAAATCTTTTAGATATTTATTTTTTTTTTACCAAATTAATTTTTATTATGTGTTTGGATGATGATCATGTAAAATTAATTTTAAAAAATCAATCATGTAATTTTTATTAATTTTACCTAATTTTATCATTGGTGGATAAAAATAATTTAAAAAAAATTGAAAATATTTTTTTGACATTTATTTTTATCAAATTAGTTTATATTTTATTAAATTGGCGATTTTACCTTTGAAAAATCTAATAATATTTTCAATTGTCGTTATTTAGAATAAGATTCAAAATTCAGGATTAAATATGTCATAATTAAAAAGTCAAGAACAAAAATGATACAAGTCTTAAATTATAAGGATTATTAGTGTAATTAACCCTTCTCTTGATTTTAAAGTTATGTATTTATGTAACTTTCTATTATTAGTTAGGCACACTGTTAACTAAAAATTTTTAAAAGACAAAATAATCACTCTCATAAAAGACATAAAATAACAACTCTCTCTCTCTCTCTCTCCAAATAACTACTCTCTCTTGGACAAGTAACTAACTTTCCCTATCCAGCACTCACTCACCCCGAAACGAGATGACTTGTGTGCCAAATAGGACTCATTTCGGGTCTCGATTAATAATCAAACCATTCACTTTTTAAAATATATTGAAATGTTGAGAATTGTTGAAAGTTATGAGTTATGAGTAATTAATTTAGTTATGCTCTCGTATTGCCATGTGTAGAATACCTGATAAAGATAACTGTTTTGACAATCGGTAAAGGGTTGCACAATTGTTGTAGAATGAATTGAAATCTTAGGAAAATAGAAACCGTTTTCAATTCATGCATTGCATTATCATATTCATGTTTTCACTCATTGGAGCCTTAGAGAATTAATGTTGATATCATTTGAATACTCTTTGGAAACTTGTGTAATTATTAAAGTAAATAATGTGGTTAAATCTGGAATGTGTAGAAACATTTGAAAATTGAATTAAGTTGGCTTCAGGTCCTCGGTTCCGAAAACCGTGTGGAGCCAAGTGTCCAATTGCCCTTCTACTTAATAGCTAATAATTGTGAATATTTGGTAGTTCTGAATAAACTATTTGTAGACACATTGCCTAGGGATTTCTTGTGTGTAGCATCGCCCGGGGGTACCCATGTGCATTGAACACATCAAACCCTCGATTTCTTTGATCTAATCTCACGAGTGCAATGTGAGATATAGATGAGAGTCTAGATTTGACAACTTAAATAGAAAATTGATTTTATTACAAAACCATTACTAGAAATGAACTATATCAGTAGATCTTAGAGTCGCCACCTAATATTTTGGAAAAATTAGGAAACCCATGACTCGTGCCAAGGCCACGATTCATCGTAACCAAAGATGCTTGGCTCGGAACCATAGGTATGAGAGAAGAAAGTCATTAATTGAGCACCCCTGCTCACCCAATCAAAGATCGGCCTCTGCTAAACGATGATATGAATTTTATTAACTTTATATGTAACATCCTGATTATTTAATAAATCATAAAAATTACTATGTGAAGCATATAAATATCAAAAATGCTTGAGACCACTAATTAGTGGTGGCTCTAATGATATGGCAGTATGTCCCACCCATTGTCACAGTGTGTGCTGTGCCTTATTTTTGTTTTTGTTTTTGTTTTTTTTTTTTTTTCAACTTCCACCTCATTAGTGGTGGATTTAGAGCTCACTATTTAGAGCTCTAAATCATTACTGTATAAATATAGACTATGTCATTCATTTAGAACAACTAGATTTCATGTATTTTGAAAAAGTTTTGAAGATGTACAACTCAAAAAAATTGAGTTTACAAACATAAAAATCAATATCATTCCAAATTAAGCGACACAACCTCCATCCATCGGCATTAATCTCACGAGTGCAATGTGAAACATAGATGAGAGTCAAGATTTGGCAACTTGTATAGAAAATCCATTTTATTATAAAATCTTTGCTAAAAATGGACTACATCACTAAATCTTAGAGTCGCCACCTAATATTTTGAAAAAATTAAGAAACCCATGACTCGTGCCAATGTCACGGTTCGTCGTAACCAAAGATACGTGGCTCGAAACTTTAGGTATGAGAGGGAAAGGTCATTAATTGAGCACCCCCGCTCACCCAATCAAAGATCAACCTCTACTAAACCATGATATGAATTTTGTTAACTTTATATGTCCATATCCCGATTATTTAATAAATCCTAAATATTATTATGTGAAGCATACAAATATAGACTATGTCATTCATTTTAGAACAATTTGATGTTTTTTTTTTTTTGAAAGAGTTTTGAAAATGTACAACTCAAAGACCAAATTAAGTGACACAACCTTTATCTACCGGCATTCATAGAGTTATATCAAATAAGTAAATAGTCTCATGGTAGAATACTAAACATAGTAAGGAAAACACACACAAATGAGATGCTAAAACATAAAGACTTACATATTTACCAACATCCCACGAATAGTTACAAAACATAGCTAGTAAAAATATGCATGATCTTATATACAAAATCCTAATGTAATTCACTCATGAGATGCAACTAAAGATTCGGGTCTTAATATATGACATGTGAATCATCTCAAAAACATGAGGTAGCGCACATAATCATATAAGAATTGATTAAATCTATAAATGCAAATTTAGCCAAATCAAGATGCATGAAACATGGATGCAAAGCATGGATATGATGAAAAACAAAATATTATGCATATTCACAAAGAAAAACAAGTAAAAGAATGGGATAGAGAGAAACGAGACGAAAAATCATTACAACACTTTGAATAAATAATTACAAACCAAATGAGAGAGGGATGAGGAAAATATTTCAACAAAATTAAAAAAAAAAAAATCTCACAAAACTCTCAAATGAAAAAAAGAAAAGAAAAAAAAAAAGCTTCATGTGCCTTGAAGACCACCGGAAATTGGTATGCCCAACATCGGAAGACTATTTCGTTTCTTCCAAAGGAAGTTAGCTGGCAGGCCAACTAAACCTAGCAAAACCTGTCTTGTTGCAAATACCGAGAAAAAAAGAAACAAAGAATATGTAGGTAGCTCAACCAACCACTTTCGGTTAGATTACAACAAGACTAATATGAAACTAAAGCAAGAATACGAATACAAGGTAGAAAGTGCAAGAAAATAAAAGAATTGAAAATTAACCACTTCCGGTTAGATTACAACAAAACAATATGAAACGAAAGTAAGAAAATAAATATAAGATAGAAAATATAAGAAAATTAAAAAATTAAAAATTCACCTTTCAAAGAAAGATTGAACTTTTTGATTTCCAAACTTCCTTTTGATCGCCCTCAAGGTTGTGAATTATGATATCAATCCTCAATTCAAGAGCTTGGAATTTGAGCTAGAAGGAAGGTTGTGGACAAGTGTGTTGATCACTCTTTGATCTTCTTAACTTGGCAAGAATTACTCTCTCTTTGATCAAAGGACTTGGTTCTTGAGTAGTTTTTGCAAGGGAAGATGAGATACATAGAGGCTATGTAACTTCACTATCTTGACAAGACAACTCTCTTGTTTTCAAAGCTTTCTTTTCTTTCTCAAACTCTAATTCAAACTCAACATTCTCTCTACACTTCTTCTCTCAAATTCATCTCCTCAAACTCAAGATTTGAGCACTTCTTATATAGGCAATACAAGTGGAGCAATAGTGGAAGGCAAAGTGGAGAACTAATGGAGTATTTAGGGAAGATAATGGAATTAATGGAGCACAAATAGAATTAATGAAAGACAAATATAGAGCACTACCCTCAATGGATCAAGCACTAGGCAATGGAGGTTGAGTATACATACATTTGGTGCAAAAATGGGTCAAAAAATGAGGTTGTGAAGTGCCCCACCCGAGCCAACAAACATCTGGGCAAATCTATCACTGGGTGGTCGACCGATCAGAAGACCGGGCGATCAACCAGCCGAAGAGAAAATTGGCCGTTTTGCTCTGGTTCAGTCCAGTTTTGCTTCGATGACTGATGGGACCTAAAAACTTGGCCAAAATAGGCTTAGGGTGGAGAGCAAAGCTCAAATTTCATCTTTTTTATTGAGGATTTTGTAAAAAATACATTCTTATTTTCATCATCGGGTAATCAAAAAAAAGTACCCAAACCTTAGGGCTAGTCAAAATGGGGTGTCGTTAACGTATATTATTTACGATTTAATAATTGGTCTTTGGAAATGATTGAAACTTGGTTATTTTCAAAAATTTTGCGTTAGTGCATTCACGAGAATGGAAAATATTTTTAACATGAAATGGCATCTCTCGCATTCATGATCATATACATGCTAAACTCATATACTTCTGTAATATTATCCTTACTGGGCAATTATGCTCATCCCTTAGTAGAAATATTTCAGGTGCCGGTGACATGCCTCATTTTCGTTGAAGGATTGGAGTTTTTACAGCACAAAGGCTCGTTTTATTGATTTAATTGAAAAGCTTGGACTTAATTGTTTGGGGCATAGTGCATTTATTTGTAACAAGGT